TTTGCATGCTATTGGTGTGTAAGGCGTGGCCTGATCTTCGTACCACATGTTCAAATCATAACGTTAGCTGATGAATGCTACCTTTACTAAAATGTAAAGTGGGCTTGTTGTCTCTCTGTTGGACACTGGGTAGACAAAGGAGACCCGTGGGCCCTGGCTTTTTTATAATGTGTCGGTTGATCAGAGCAGCATATTAGTTACACCCGCTACATTTCTCACTTGTTCTTTCCTCAGCATATTGCCGAATACCAGACTATTTTCGGAATATCGCGTGGGAAAGGCTGATGCACATTGCTTTCGCTGCCTTCCACGTCACCCAATTTCCTGGAATAAAAAGCTTCCTTCCAGAGACGATGTTGTCGATGGCAATAGCCAGCATTTAGCCGATCAAGAAAAGAAGAATTGGGGTTGGACCATTTATTTTACGTACAAACATAAAAGAAGCGGATACAAAACGGGTATGGCATTGGCAATGGATCCAGGTAAACAGAAATCAATAGGCACAATATTCAAATTAAGTATACATACAGGACATGCATGAAACACTGGGTGTGGGGGGGGGGAGATTCTGGTTGACATGGTATTTACATTGTAACAGAGTCGCAGTTGATACGATGTAGTAATCGTTTGTTACCTATCGTGTTTAAACCAAATTAAGTTCTAGCTGACTGTTTCGCACGCTTCGTGTCATTACGGGGCTAAGCTCAACATTGAGATAAGTCCTGTATTCGTGCAATGACTGATCTTAGGTAGAATACTGATTTAAAGCCATGTAGCTGTGTTATGCAAAATGCTTCAGAGACCAAGACAGGTTTTGCTTGCCCAAAAAACGTGAAAAAATGTGTGTGCACCGAGACCAATTGAATGTTAAATTACCGTTCCATCGCATTGTTAATCAAAGTCTACGATCAATGTAGAGATCAAATTTACTTAGAGTGACAGAGAAGCGCCCGCAGAGTGTTAAAACACATCTACTTAAAAATGTTACAGACCTACGTTATGTAAACCAGGCACACATTTGTTAATCAACGTAAAGCAAAGCCAAATTTTGAACTTTTTTTACAAATTTTACAAAGTTGAACAAATTTTTAGTGGCTTTACCGTGTCAGCTACAAGGCACTGCGGTCCGGTGTCAGGCACTCCTGAATACCAAATGCCGCATCAAGTCCTACCGCCACGAGTGGGAGGTGGTACACCAAAAAACACACTGAGCAGCCTGGCAACATTTTCCAGTTAGTCCGAATTTCAGCGCGGATAGATTCGGATAAGAGGCTTAGCTCCAGACAATGTTCCAAAGGCGAGGTTCTTTTACAGAGATCCGGCCTGAATCATGATGAGATTCTTTACGTCGTGCAGCATTTCCGAGCTGGCAATCCCTGTATGTCCGACTTCAACCGCAAAAAGCCGTAACCGCCATCTGGGCCGGTGCTCCAATACAAGACTAGATGTTGCCACCCGTTTCCTTCCAAGCCTGCGAGCGTGGAGCGTTTTGGCAGATGGTGCGCGTTTCTGAACCCCACCGCCGTTTTATCCGCCCCGATCCACTCCTGACAGCTGGCGTCGGGCCTCATTCGTATCGGACCGAGCGTTTGGTGGTGGAGCTCGTCTCAGCGGTGACCGCCTTCTTGGCGACACTGGAGCTGAGCTGCGCCGAGCTGGCGCTGGAGGAGGCCTTCAGCGCCAGCTCCGCCTCGCCGCGCCCGGACGGCGCCGCGCCGCCCGCCGGCCGCTCGTAGAGTCCCATTGACTCGAACTCGTCGTCGATCTGGCGCAGGGCGCGGCGCGTGCGGGTGCCGAGGTCCTCGCCCGGCTCGCCGGGCACGGTCGCCAGCCGCGGCCCGTTCTCCTGCGGCCGGCCGCGCCGCAGGGACGCGATCAGCTGCTCCGGGTCCACGTCGAACGCGGCGTCGTCGAGCGCCGGTCGCGGCTTCAGCGCCAGGAAGGCGTCGTCGTCGAGGTCGACGCGCGGGCGGCGCTCGCGGCGCGGCGCGGCGTCGGCGCTATTGGGGCGGAGCGGCGCCGGCGCCAGCGTCGCCTCGCCGAACTGTAGCGGACCCAGCTCGCCGTAGATGGGCTTCTCGGCGAATCTCTCGGCGAACGTCTTCTTGCCCGGCGGCGGACTGGCGGCTCGGCGGCCCTCCTTGCGGTCCAGGTAGGCCAGCATGTCCTGGTAGCTGCTCTCGCCCACCTTGTAGTTGTAGTCGTACGTGTGGTGGCGCGGGCGGCGGTGGAACGACATGGTGGCCATGCGGCGAGTCTGCAACGACAGGAGGCGCCAGTCAGCGACGGCCCGGCGGGCGGCGGCGGCGCCGGCAGCGCTGGCCGCGCCGGCCGTCACCGGCTGACGCCCCGAGCCGGGCAGGCGGCCTGTCGCGCCGCCAGCCATACTGAGGTGCGGTGGGATCTCGAACCTGCCATACTGAGGTACTGTGGGACCTCGAGCCGGGCATACTGAGGTATGGTGGGACCTTGAATCTGCCATACTGAGGTACTGTGGGACCTCGAGCCTGCCATACTGAGGTATGGTGGGACCTTCGAGCCGGCCATACTGAGGTACTTTGGGACCTCGAGCCGGGCATACTGAGGTACTGTGGGACCTCGAGCCGGCCATACTGAGGTGCGGTGGGACCTCGAGCCGGGCATACTGAGGCACGGTGGGGCCTCGATCCGGGAATACTGAGGTATGTTGGGACATCGAGCCGGCCATACCGAGGTACGATGGGATCTCGAGCCTGCCATACTGAGGCATGGTGGGGCCTCGAGCCGGGCATACTGAAGCACGGTGGCACCTCGCGTCCGGCTTGCCGAAATACGGTGGCACCTCAAGTCTGGCATACCAAAGTGCGGCAGCTAGTTCCGGTGCCCATTTAAAACAGAACTAAAACTGCAATTTGTATAAAGTTTCAACATTACCCTCAGACAGCACGGCAAATGCAAGCATATATGTATATGTCTATTCAGTCACACCTTTAAATGCCGTCCCTAATGAGAGTGGCATGGAACGCGTCAGCATCACCGCACTGCAGTGTGGCATCTGGCTCGATTCATGGCATCTTGAAAGGCCTTGAGTATGATAACTCATGCTCTCCTCGCTGTGCAGCGATTTTTAAGGATTTTTAACGGATCTAAACGTGTTAAACGGATAAACGGATCTCTGTCATGTGTTAGAGAGAGGAAGGAAGAGAGGGAGAAAGAGAAAAGAGAGGGAGAGAGACAGACAGAAAGAAAGAGAGAGAGAGAGAGAGAGAGAGGGGGGGGGGGGTGGCATGACTTCTCGGAGGCCGTGGCTGATCCCCTCACCGGTCCCCGGGACAGCAGGTAGGAAGCCGTCCAGTAGCTAAGCTCCCCGCCCACCGTCCGTGCCGGCTCATCGGGTGCCGCTCAGACACGGGCCGAGGTCGTGACCTCAAGTGACCTCTGGCCACTGGTCTGGGGTGGGCGGTCCGGTGCGACCCCGCGCGGCTCGGCGCCGATCAGCCGACACGTTCGACCAGAATCGGTGACGGTCGTCGATCCCTCCCCTCCCCCCTCCCATTTCTTCCTCTCAATCTGAATGGGAGGCGGATTCCTCGATCATGGACCTGATCTTTTAGGCGCGGACTGATCTGGTGGCGCAGGTCACCTGAACACCGAGGTCAAGGCTGGTTTGTGGTGACTGCTGAGATTTTGTGGACGGCGTGCCACCCTGCACGCGCTCCTTTGCCGGACTGCTGCACGTTCAGCCTGCACCACCGCGCATAATTGCATTCATAAACTGTGACGTTGGGCTGCGATTTGTTTCCGTCCCGTGGAATGCATAGCAATGACGTGAATGATACAGCCACTCCGTTCCCGGACATCCAGAGGTCGACGGTCGTCCATAACTGGTTCTGTCGTCGACAAAGTATGAGGCCATGACTGGAGTTGTTGACTGCAAACTCTCGACAGGTGAGATAAGGCTTAACGGTCCTGGCAAAGAATGAAAAGAATAGAGGGCATGCTGGGTAAGCCGCCGGTCTGACGTCATAACCAGTAGAGCTAACTGTTTTACCGGCATGTGCTGCGGATAACTCGCTTGTTCGATGACCTCTACTGGCTAACCCCTGGGCACGGAAAAAACTGACTCGGGTGCTGGCGTCATGGTCATACATATCCCTCATTTCTAGCCCCGTAAACAATATCGGGGTCTGGACTTCATCGCGCCTAGTTTTCCTCTGCGTACCATTTACTATATTTTGCTAGAGGTGGCGTCTGCCGACTGCTTACACTCCCAAAGAGAAGAGAAACATCAGGTTATCTTCTTCAAGCGTGCATGTATGTGATTTCTGTATTCTATTGAGGCGTAAAACCTCGGCTTCCACTCAAGCCCTTGTCGAGCCGGCCATAAGAGCATCAACATACCCCACGTTGCAAAAGACCTCTGTTTGACGGGTGACGTTCGATCTGATAATAAATGACTACAAAACGCATATCTGTCATCTGTGTAATCCTGGCGAGGCGCCGCCGGAGAGCCCCGTCTAATTGGCAGCCGTCGGATCCCGCGCGTGGGGCGGCTGAGGGCGGCGGCGGGCGCCGGCTCGGCGGACAGAGTCGAGCAGCGGCGAACAAGCGCCGAGGACGGCCTGACTGACGGCCCGCCTCCTGACGGCCCGCAGCGGCCCGTCAGCGGGCGGCGGAGGCGCTCGCGCTCAGCTCTGACGTCACACTGCGGCTTCCACTGCAGCCTTTGTGGAGCTGGCTATTAGAGTAACCTGCATACCCACATTGCGAAATACCTTTGCTCGACAGATAATATTCCCTTGCAGCATTCCGTGGTGACACGCGTGACCAGACCCGCGTGGTGGCCCACGGCTTGACCTGTTGCGGTTACCTCTGCTCAGGTCCCCTGGTCCCGGCACGTCGTGTACTCGCGGTAGTCCCTGACCGCGTCCCTTGATGACCTCTGGCCAGGCTGGCCGCGGTGACCCCAGGTCGGGTTACGGGCCGGCAGGCGGTCGCCGACTCCGCCCAGTTTGTCCGGGCTCGTCGCCGGCGGTCGGTGCGCCGGTCGCCAGCTATGCCAGCTATCTGGAGCGGCGGCGACCAAAATACGTCGGCGGCGACGGTGCCAGCAGTGACAGGGCGCCGGCGGCGGCGACACCGCGGGACCCACTGCCCCGACGCCGGGGTCGCGCGGACACTGGGCGCGAGCCAGCGCCGGCTGCCGACCGCCGCTGGCTGCCGTCTGGAGCGCGGGCGGAGCTGGGCCGCTGTGGGACCCCGGCCCCTCCCCCCCCCCTCCCTTCCCCACCCGTCACAGTCCGCTGTGACGTATGACAGCCGGAGATGGCAGGCTGACGGCCGTGTCCAAAACAGGCCTTCCAGCGAGTTCACGAATCAAATATGTTGGTATCTGATGCGGTCAGCAGTTTGAAGTTTAAACAAATCATCAGAGGGGCAGCAGTTTGACGCTTTGCTGTTCAACAGCTGGATGAGAGCAGGGAGAGTTGCATCACTTTTACTCTGAACTCCGTTCTGCTACAACTGCTGGAGATACGACTAAGATTCTTATACCTGCAGGCAGCTATAGCATTCAGCTTCATATGTAACGGTAGAGGTTTGGAGAGCACACCTTCGTCAATTTTGTAAAGGACTTTTGAATGAACTCGTCTCAAATGAGACAAGCTACCACACCAGGGAGTAAATTGTATCACATAGTGGGGGAAGTGGTGCCTATGTGTCTTGCCGTAGTGCAAGTCGCATCGCAAGCAAACTGAATGAGTTACAACGTGTAGACCGTATGCGCTCGTCGCACTAGTTCGTAATTCGCCGTGATTGCGATATGACCATTTTTCGCCCTTTTTATTCGTGTGTTCTTATTTTACAACTAATGTCAGCTCGCTTTCGGTTGCCCAGGTGGAAATCATGGGTCTACATAGGAAATGTTCATGTCGACTTGTTATCTAGGCGCCAATAAGTCATGACAACCATGTCAGTCAATGATTGACGACAAGTTAGTCAATAACCTACTGCCGGTACATTGCATCATTGATACAACATGCCCCACGCACAGCTGATACATATACTACCTGACATCTTTGAAGGAAGGTTGCGGCACCCTGAAATGTTTGGCTGCCAGATGCCCAATGTTTTGCAGTATGTACGATACACGTCCTTACTGCAAAACGTACTACGAGCATTACTCAGTACAGCATTCAATTTGGCAAAGTTATGTCCGTAAGCTCCTAAGTACACATTTGCACCTGGTCGCTAAGTCTTCAACGACATGCAGAACACATATTTGTGGCGCTCATACCAAGACGTCTGGACGTGCGCGGCCAGGAGTACACTGGAAGGTAGAGGGAGCTGCTGTGCGTCAGCTGAGTGACTCAAGACTGCCATCTGTCGCATCAATTTGGAATCAATCGCCCCCGTCCGATATTACTCGAACATAACACATCACGTCCCCACTCTCCCCTGCGCCTCAGGAGCGTCCCACGATACAGCGGTGCGGCGTGCGGCGGGCCATGGGGGTCACGTGACCTGACGTAGAGCTGGAGGCGTGATCGCACCGCCCCCGTCGGCGTGCCATTGGTCCGTCGAAATCGACATTCCAGCAAGGCTGGTTCCCGCGAGCGAATAAGAGCATGAGCCCGCTGAAGCCTCTGGAGCCCAATCATGATTCGATGCACGAAAACGAGCAGTGGCCCTGCATCGACCAGGAAGAAATGAGGGAGACGTAGAGACCAGTAGGAAATGCTCAGATCGACCGCCACATTTGTAAAACGTGCGTTGGCTACCGTGTTGATCATGTTTAGAGGGTAGTATTTGCAAGGTGCATTAGGAAGGTAGGCGGCCCCTGACCTGAGAATTCCGTTAAAAAGGGAATGTTTCACATTTGAAGATATCGTTGCAAGCACCAGATATGATGAAACAAGCTCACTTATCAGTAGTGACATACTTTCCAAGTGTAAAATGCTGTTCTTGACTGCATAATTCACTGGTAAATGAATATGTTCCTCCATGCCTCACCGCTTGATTGCGAGCCCCGTACCGTATATCGTACATCCTACCCCGCACAACATCGATTGAGAGCCAATAGACGGCCGTTATATCTGGAAATCATGCCTATGAACGTCAGATATGAACGCCTCGGCGATCCTTTTTTGTTAGCCTTGATCGCCGCATGGCTTATGGAATGGCAGGATTTGAATGATGTTATTTTGACGTCGTGAATGCAAAGGTGACTTCGAAGCATGCGAAATACCTTCCCCGAAATACCTTCTCCCATTTTCGTGG